TATCTGTCGTAGAATTACTAAAATTATAAAAATGATTACTTTCGAGTACTGATTTTTATAATTTCAAAAATACAAGTAGGGTTATGATTTTTTCATATTCCGAATAATGAAATCTTCAGGTCTTATATTACGAAATACTTTTGAAAGTTGGCTTCTCTTCTATCGCATAAGTTATGGCAAGACGAGATTTAAGAGATCAATTGAAAAATCCTTTTCCTGATGGTGTTACAAGAATAAAATCCATACGTTTCTCAGTTAGCCCCAACCTTTAAAAGGAACGTTTATAAATTTGACAGCTACCGGATCATTACTCTGTGAATTAAATCATAAGTAACTTTTGTTAAATAAAATTTGAAAAAAAAATTAATAAAAAGAAATTTTACATGTTGCTTACTTTTTTGCAAAGGAAAAAAAATAGAGTTGAAGCAAAATATTGGCTTGATGACGAGTTACCGGACACTGTGCCATTAAAACCAACCAAACTAAGTTTAGCCATGGTGAAATGAGCATCGAAGACGGTGAGCGCAGTGGAAGCCCGAAAGAGGTTGTTACCGACGAAAACAACAGATAAGTCCAGAAAATAATTTCGGAGGATCCTAAAGTTGTTCGAGATAGCAGGCACGCTAAAGAAATCAGCTGAATGTATATGTCATAGTTATTCCAGAATATTTTGGTACAAGAAAGCTTTTGGGAGTAAATTCGAGTTTTTGCGTCAATATGTGACAATGGTTGAAACATGGCTCTGTCATTTCACTTCGAACTCCATCCGATGGTCACCCGAGTAAACTGCAAAGCATGGAAAAACGCGTCGGCTTGCAAGGTTATGGCGCTTGTAATTCAGGATGCGCATGGAATAATTTTTATTGACTACCTTGAAAAACAAAAGCACCATCAACAGCAACTATTCAATGCAATGCATTATTGGACCGTTTATAAAAAAATGGGCGCATTTAAAGAAAAAAGAAAGTGCTGTTTCACCAAGACCTTACATCGTCTCGCAAATAAGTGAAAACGATGGCAAAAATATATGAATTGGGCTTCGAATTGCTTCCGCATCTCCTTATTTACCTTATTCTCCAGATCCAGGCATCCAGCGACTACTTCCTGTTCTCGGTTTTCAAAAGAATACTCATTGAGAAGATTTAAAGCGAATGAAGAGGTGACCGCGGAAAATGCGGCCTATTATGAAGCAAAAGGTAAATTGAAATACAACAAGTAAGGAAGGGCTAAGTTCGGGTGTCACCGAACATTTTATACTCTCGCATGATAAAGTGATAATCGAGATTTCAGGTGAACCGATTTCACCCATATTTGGTACATGTCATCAAGGAATATTATATACCGAATTTCATTGAAATCGGTCGAGTACTTCCTGAGATATGGTTTTTGCTCCATAAGTGGGCGACGCCACGCCCATTTTCAATTTAAAAAAAAAAGCCTGGACGAAGCTTCTTTTTGAAATTTCTTTAGCGAAATTTAGTGTTTCTGACGTTTTATGTTAGTCGGTTAACGCACTTTTAGTGATTTTCAACATAACCTTTGTATGGGAGGTGGGCGTGGTTATTGTCCGATTTCTTCCATTTTTGAACTGTATATGGAAATGCCTGAAAGAAAGGACTCTACACAGTTGGGTTGACACAGCTATAGTAGTTTTCGAGATATGTACAAAAAAGTTAGTAGGGGCCGGGGCCACGCCCACTTTTACGTCCAAATATGCCCCTCCCTAGTGCGATCCTTTGTGCCAAATTTCATTTTAATATCTTTATTTACGGCTTAGTTATGACATTTTATAGGTTTTCGGTTTCCGCCATTTTGTGGGCGTGGCGGTGGGCCGATTTTGGCCATCTTCGAACTTATCCTTCTTATGAAAAGAAATACGTGTACCAAGTTTCATCATTATATCTCAATTTTTACTCAAGTTACAGCTTGCACGGACGGACGGACAGACGGACAGACAGACATCCGGATTTCRACTCTACTCGTCACCCTGATCACTTTGGTATATATAACCCTATATCTGACTCTTTTAGTTTTAGGACTTACAAACAACCGTTATGTGAACAAAACTATAATACTCTCTTTAGCAACTTTGTTGCGAGAGTATAAAAATTGTATCGAAAAATTGGATAACCGCTATGATCAGGACATCAGTTTGGAAGGAAACTATTTGAATAAAAAAATCGAATTTTGTTAAAAATGTGTTTTATATGGTAGGCTGGTGATTTTATATAAGCGAACTAGTCCCGAAAATTTGGAGATACAGAGAGGTTCTTTCTTGAAAAGCTGCTTATTTGACATGGTCAAAAATCACCAAAGTCGGTATAGATTTTAATTCAAGACATTGTCACAGTATACCCTTTAAAGTTAGTATAGATTCAGAGCTGCCGAAGTTAACGTGACTTCTTGTTTTTCTGCCGAAATTCTTTTTGATGAGGCAAAGAGTAATCAAGGTAATCTCCATTATAGATGAATAAAAAAACATATTATTATTATTATCTCGACGATATCAGCATTATATAAAACGGTTTTAGCACGATCTATAAAGGGTGATCCAGTAGAGGTACTTTTTTCAATAGACTTTTTTTCCGCAGATTTCGCGTGAATCGCGTCCAGCTCTTATGTTATTTGTATTTAGTATTGTTTGGCATTTCATCGTGGAAAGACTTACGTCTGAACTTTTACAAATGGTTCAACTTTATTACAAAAATTCACTCTCTGTAAATTGCCCTACTAAACATACTCTTCTCAACACCATCACCCATCTTGAGACGCAGTATTCCCTATTTCATAATATTTGATCGAATAAACCGCGACCAGCACGCAGTGAAGAAAATATAGCCGTAGCAGAGAGTTTACACGAAGACCGTGGGAAGTCGATTCGTCAGCGTTCGTAGCAACTGGTACTGACATGTGAGACGTCTTAGCGAATTTTACGTCGAGATGTTAAATTGAGAGCGTACAAAATATAGCTCGTGCGAGAAGTGAAGCCGCTCGACCTTTTCAATCGACTTTGCTTTGCTTTATGGACTTTTGAAAAGTTAAAAGAAGATCCGACATTTTCGAGTCAAATTTCTGTACAGCGATGAGACCCAAAATTTGAGACGAAGAACAATCTGAAGAGATTTGAGAGCTGTCATTTCACACAAAAAAGACAACGGTGAGTCGGTGGAATCATCGGTATATATTTCTTTGAAAATTCTGCCAGAGTGAACATAATCAATCGCGACCATTATCGCGCCATTTTAACCGACTATTTCATACCTGAAATTGAAGCATTTGGTTTGAAGAAAATGCTTCGATGAGCAGATAATTTCACGCTTTAGCCAGGTTTTTTGGCCACCAAGATCATATGATATAACACACTTAGGCTTTCTTCTGTGGGAATATACAAGGTCTAAATATAATCATGTTGCATTTTACATAAACTCAGTAGAAAATGTAAGAATACAAGTACTATCTTACTCCGAATCTTATCACGTCATTAACCCCACTTAGTGGACTAAAAAATAATGGCTACACTAGAGGTTGCATTGGGTGAATATTTAATTAGACGTGCGTTGTGATTTACGTGAGTACCTGCTGGTGACGGCTTAACCTCACGGTGCTTTCTATTTCTAGAAGCACAGAAACCAATACAATGCGTTGATCAGCGCCCCAAAGCATAAATGCATTCAGCACTTATACCTTGGTTCCAATTGGTTCAGGTGGATAGGGACACCTTAGCCGCCTTGGTCGGGCACGAGGCCTACCCAAAACCTCTGCCGTAGTATGGGTCCGGCACCCAGCCGCAACGCGACTCCACATTGGACTGAAAATTTTCAACACTGCCTGCATTTAGGTTCGAACCACAGCCACCACGAATCTCCACAAAGGGCCAAACCCAAGCAGATTGGAGTCAACTCCACGGGCTAACTGCTCCCCATGGTTGAGCTCCCCAAACTCAATGACATTTGTCGCTTGAACAACACATGCCTTTATATTAGGAATTAATATAAAGTCTATAATATCATTTAAAGCTGAGTATTATAGCACTATTTCTGACATAGACCATGCTGACATTTAAAACAGATCTGATTGACAGACGCCTCTTACAACAGGCATGCCTCACCACTGGTATATTATTCCCCCTACCCCCAGGCGGTCTAGAATTTAGACAATTAGTTTTAGTAAATAAAGATTGAAGAAAGGACATTAAACAACTTCATGGAAAGCAAAGTTACTAGAGAGAAAGATATAAGACCGCAGGTGGTCTCAGTTTGCTTGAACAGCTGGTGTAAGTTTCGACTCTAATCTACTCTCTTAAGCTTCATGAATCGAAGATTGTTCATATTCCACAAATATTGAGATAATAATATCTGCTTTTTCGGATGAACAATTTTATTTTTTTCCATTGTTTTGTATTTTTATAAAGCAAATTTTTTTATGAATCACACTTTATGTAGAGCAAAGCTTTATCGAAACGCATTAGCATTTTGAGTATCAAGGAATAAGCAGTAAATTAGAAAAGAATTTGTGTTGTTTATATAGTTCCAATGAATTGTATTTGTTTTTCAATCAATACCCAGCCATTGTGGCATATCATAACAATCATTTGAAGCATATAATGGGATAATATGTGGTTCATATGTAGTTATAGGATTTCATTTGTAATTAAAACTAACTAAGTAATTAAGTCTTAGCTTTTGGCCTTTTCAATTAAAAAGAAATGTTGAATAATTTGTTTGCCAAGTGCTCAATCAAATGTGTTATAGTTACGATGTTACTGCATACCCTACAAAGAGCTAACTGCATATGTAATTCGTACGACGATTACAAAGTAATTATATGTAAACAATGAAAAAAAAAACTTGCACGCGTAATTTACGTATTTATGACATTTTAATTGTGAACTCAGATGTGATTCCCAGAGACGCCACTACTTGTCATTTAAATATTTGGATTAAATTGACATTGGTATTTTAATTACGTAATTACTTCGATTACCTATTTTCGATACTAACCTGAGAGTCCTTCAAGCCCAGTCTTTCGGCCAATTTCTTGCGATCCGGCTTGCTTATATATTTCTGCTGTTGAAATCGTTTCTCCAAACCTTTGCGCTGAGAATCTGTGAAACAACAACAATAAACGAATAAACAACAACACGTAAATCAAATGACCACAGACGTATGAATTAATGTACAGTTATTTAGACGGCAAGTAATGACCCAACACTTACCGGAAAATACGGCACGACGCATCATACCACGACGAGGCTTGCCACGCGTCGAATGCGCCCAAGGGAAGCCTTGACCTGGTGGCAGGGGAAACACTTGTGCACCAACTGCAAGGAGAGAGTGAGAGTTTTGCAATAATGTGAGAATTACGTTTTGTGGCGGAAACGGAAGTGCGTGGGAAATGCATTAACATTACAACAACAAGGATGTGTGCGTGTGTATATTTGTAGCAGTAGTTGAGGTACGTAGAAGCGCGCAGTGGGCGCTTGTTGCTGCATTAGAATACTGTTGCAATTAATTGTTGCATGCCACACGCAGCACAAATGTGTGAGCGTGCGTGTGAAAATGTGTTGACAAGTGCAACAACACAACAGCACCATTTGCGGACATTAGTCAAATTCTATTACCGATATGCCACAAAATGTGGCAAGTGCCCACAACAGTTATGGCGTTCCTACTATGAACTTATACACACACATACACATATACATATGCATAAAGCCGCATACCAAGTCGGTTACATGACAACAATAATACAATAAAACAACAATACATTACAACAATAATACACTATAACAACAACAACACACATAACAACACCAATCAACTCACCACTCATGTAGGGGTTTCTGCAGTGCGCCAACAGTGAATGCAAATGCGGATGTTGCAAGCTATGTGGCAGGAATGGCGTCGGCCGGCTGGGCAATGGTTTCGCTATCACTTGATGGCCAGCCGCTTGGCCGGGCAATGGTGAAAGGTGTGGCTGCATGTGCGCTTGTAGTTGATGTGCTGGCGATTGCAGGTGTGATGGCGCCAGTTGCTGTTGTTGTTGCTGCTGCTGTTGTTGTTGTTTCTCCTGCGCCAACGCCGACAAATTTAGTCTTCGATTATTATTATCTTCGAGCACATTGCCGCAATCATTGTGACCGCCAATAACACCGCCTTCATATGGTCGACCATCGATTGTATTGTTGATGTTATTGCTGCTGTTGTTGTTGTTGCTGTTGCTGTTGTTGCCACTACCACTGCCGCCGGTGCCGGTGGAGTGATTGTCGCTATCACTGATGGTGCTGCCCGGTGATGACGACGACGCTGCGGTTTGCGGCTGACAACTATTGCCGTTGGCGGCGCCGATGGTGTTCAGCTGATGTGGCGGCAGGTGTGGATGGTGTGCCAGGTGGGGGTGGTGTGCATGTGTTAGTGGATGCGTGTGTGGATGGTGTGTCAGAAATGCAGGATGCGGAAAGTGTGTATGATGTATGAAGTTTTGTTGTAAGTAAGGCCAAATATGCTGAGGCTGAATGAATTCTGTGGGGAGTGGAAGAAGAGAAAGCAAGATTTATTTCGTAATTTATATTGTACAAGGAAAATGTCAAATATTAGCCAATTATCATGAAAACTCTTCGAAACCTAACCGAAATATAACCGAATCTATGAAGTTTGATCAAATCTCAGAAATCATCATAGAGTTTAGAAACCAAAAGAGAGATAAATATCTCATAATACTTCAAAATTGAATGAAAATTTCTTATGAAGAATCTGCCAAACACTGGTTCGTTTTTTAGATGGTTGTATCTCGCAGATATCTCTCTTTATTATTCGAAAAAATTGTTTCCAATACATAGAGCATGTACGGCCGTCAGTGACTATATCACTTAGATTTTCCCAAAGTTTTGTTTTTAATCAGTCCATTTGGTTGAAATTTTGAACCCTCCTCGGAATTAGTGTCAAAATTTAGCTTCTCTCTCTCTTCGAGAAATAGTGAGCTTCTAGTCAGCAAAAAGTACAACGACTAGAGATTTTTTTTTTCATATTTGGAAATACAAGTTCCAGATATGAAGAGTTGCCTTAAAAATCGGGTATTCTCACAAATGCGGACCGGGGTCTTCGGCCAACTTGACAGCATTCCACCAACTTATTTGAGAATGTTCCCTGGCATCTCATCAGCAACCATTGTAATAGAGTTCTTGTTAAATATCGAATGAATGTACTTGTTTTATCAGTTCTCAAGAAAATAAAAGTTTTTGAACCCGATGGCCTGAGCTTTGCATTCATTCACAACTCTGATTAGACTACTACACTTCTGCTTCGGGATGCAGTCTTCTAATATTTAAATATCCAATAGAATTCTGAAGAACTCTTGGATAACATAAGATAACGATTTTTACAACGCTTAAAAGCATAAAATGATATCAATATTATCGGCATACGCCAGCAGCTATACACTCTTTTAGAAGATGGTACCTTCTCTACTTAGCTCTGTACCTCGAATTATTTTCTCCAGGAGCAGATTGAAGAAGTCGATCTTGTCTGCAACCTTGTTTAGTATCGAACGGCTCGAAGAGGTTCTTCCCGCTCCTGACGTCAGTTTACATAGTCCTATTGGTTTTTCGGGGATTTTATTGGGGATGTTTTTTACGTGGCGGGTCCCACACCCAGTCCAGAACACTAGAGAGGCATGTTTCGTCTTCGCAGTTTAGCTCGCTTCTAAACGGATGAGTTTTGGCTACCCAGAGAATACTTGTGATCTGCTTCAGCCATATGTAAGAGAATCATGTCTGTCCATTCCCAAGTTAATGGCGCTCAGAGAACTTTCCTCACTTTCGTCAAATTTTACAAATAACTCCCTCCCGCGTTCACTGACTCACATACACATAATTCTGTTTATTCTAACACACAATATGGAGAAAACTCAGTAACGAAGTTGAACATAATCTTCTATGGATAAACTTAACAGACGCTAAATATGTGATTTATTTAAATATATTGCCTAGATTTTGATAAGTGCCTCAACGTATATGAAATCTTTTTAGTTTCGATCCCTTTTACTTTTTCAAGGATGAATGTTTTGTGGATATAGCTGTAATTGTTTAAAGTTTTCAGATACAACAATTATGAGGACGAAGATTTTTTATTGCATCATTTTCATTAATTGATAGATATTAAATATTTTCTACAATAGTAACTTTACTATTTTCGAAACATACTTAATATAGACAAGCAAGACATTAAGAAGAGTGTTTCAGTTAGTTTTATTTATTTGATAAATATTTTGCGAAAGTTGAAATACATTCTTACATTTTCTAATTTTGGTGATATCTGCTAAAAAACTGAAAGCTTTCAACTAAAACTTGAATTCATTAGCGCACAAATGACAAACATTAAACGCCACATAAAGTCAAGTCACACCAACTTGTATTCACTTCCATACAAATATATTTATGTATCTACGCCTTTGTGGGGTATACGCAACATCCTTGTTAAAATAGCGGTTAGCAAAAGATTAAACATAGCGTAAAATAAGCTGCCAACTAAAATTCAAAGCCGCACATTTGCACACACACAGCTGCTTAACGAAGTGCACATGTGAGGTGCAAGCGCATGTAGAACACAATTTACAAACAAGCAGGTCTCGCCAGTGGCTCTAAAGAGGCGTTAATACGTTAATTGTTTCTGTCTAATCGAATTAAAATCACAAGCGCCATCCCCTCCACCCACAGGCACATGAAAGCTGCAATGCTAATTCCCATATGTAGGCGGCGCGAAGAATTAAGCTGAATTTGTTTGAGAATATAGATATGTTTAGGTGTGTGTGTAAAATTACCCGACGGTAAATTGTTAGCTGCCAAGGTTCGTTCGAAATAATACCAAGAAACAAGCCAATATTCCGTAAAAAATTAAGCTATGGGATAAGGATAGGATAGTAGCTATAGGAATGTTTATTTTAGTAGTCGCAAAGAGTACAATTTTGGAAAGAGTATGCTGGATTGTAGTTCGGATATCACTTGATCCCCTACAAATATAGCTACAATAGCTGATGAACTCGGAACTGTTGATGTTCGTCCTCGTTTCAAAAATTAAATATAATTGCTTTTGAAAACAATTAGTGTATTAGGCCAAGAAAATAGCACCAGAGACTAGTTAGACTATTATTAGTACAGCCTTGTGGTTTTTAGTGATAGAATATCTTGTTATATAAACATTTCTTTAGATTTGAAAGTAGAAAAAAATAACGTTAGATCTAACTCTGAAAATTTTGTTGCATATTGCTATAATTCAAAACATTTTTCTTGTAGTTAACACTCAACTCGGCAAACAAATATTTAAGAATAAAAATCCCAACCACTGCACCACCAGGTTAAGTATTACTCCATCCCTATTTAGAATCTTATCTATCATAAGGACTGACTGATGTCTAACATACTGTATAGTATGTCTTAGTTTTGTTAGAGCTGACGCTTCGCTTATAGCTTCCCATTTATCTGAGGACTAACTAAAAACATACTGCTCATGTGATCGGAACAAATAGCTTCTAAAACATCCTTGAACACTCAGTATTTGGGATAGGTGAAAGTCTAGGACCCCATGCTGACTATCTATGCACGATGTCCGAAATTGGTGTGTGGGTCCACCGTTCTTTGGTTTAGGTTGGCCACCGTTGTTGCCACATTGTGATGCTTTTGATTTTCTCCTCTTCTTTTACGTCTACAGTCGGCTCTGATAGCTGAGATACATTTGTATATAGGGGTCATTGTTTGACCTGGTGTAGTTGAATATTGCGAAATACCTAGTTTGTCCAATAATGAATGATTTCCGACCATACTTTATGATATTTTTGCAGGTTGGAGTACTCGAAGTTGCCATTGGTGCTGTTCCGGCAGAAAAATTTTTTTTTGAAATAATTCCAAGGTAGATTGCCGTATGGATCATCTTTGGATAAAAGTCTTGGTCCGTTTCGATTATGCATACTGTGATGAAAGCAGACTTTTTTAGAGGTATACCAGAAGACATTTCGTTCGCTCTTGAATCGTGTAGGGTATAAAGGTATGTAGGTAATTATTCGTTCTGGTTTTTTTTTCCTTGTCTAACACTGTCAAAAGCATTCGAATAAAAAATTTGTCAAAATATTTTTCCAACTAGTAGAAAAAAATATATTTGGCCAGTAAAATGTTGAGCAAGTACTTCATGCCACTGCCTCATCAACTCATACCCGTGTAATAAATAATATTTAATTTACAATCACATCTTTATGGATGCATTTCAGACCAGTTGCAAGACAGTTAATGCATCTTTCTTCAGAACTACTTCCTTTTCAAGCAACGCAAATTAAATTTGAGTAAGACCCACCTTTTATTTACATACACCTTTATACTATACCTATACTGGTAGAAATGCTTGTGGTTTCGCACATCCAATCACTGTTCACACATCTTTCAACAGCCCGTGAGTGCAAACGTCGTATTATGTGCATAATCAAATGTGTAATTTTGTTTGTATGCATGCACAACCACATACGCGTTTTGGTTCGTTTGTTAATTCAAGCACCCTTTATGCTTGTTGTTGCTGCCTTTGTTTTCGGCTGTTTAATTAGAGAAAGCTCTAAAGACTTGAAAAGTTTTCACACAATGCCACATAATGGCATCAGTTGAGGTAATGGCTTTAAGTGTGTGTGTGTGTGAGTACAATTGTGTGTGGGTGGGTGTGGGAAGTGTTCTCCTGCCACGTTCTACCCGTTTAACTTCAAAGCGTCGGAATTTTAATGCCTCGAAGTGTGAATCACACATTTCATAAGCGCAAACATATATGTATGTATATGTTGAATGCCTGTGAATATTTTTGTGTGTGAATGTGTTAAATATATGAAAATATGCAAAAGTGCTCATATGGTTTTGAACGCTTTATATCCTGTCAAGTGTTATTGTTTGCTTGGCTTAATAATTATAATGGCTTTGTGACTTGGCACTTCAAAATTGAAAAGCGTTGACTTAGACTTGTGGTGGATCCTTTTAATGACTAATGAATGGATGCTTATGTATTTATAGAAGTACAAAGGATAGCATAAATAATCGTATATATATACATATTTGTATATTGTTATAAATTTGAACACGAGCATGGATTTTTTTGAAGTCATTGGAAAAATTATTTCTAGTTTGTTTTTGGAAACATCATATATGGTGTATAATAATGATATTTGAACCATTAATCGTATTTCGTTTAACTGAAAGAAGTCCAAACAAAACGCATATAATAACGGGTGATCCAAGTTGAGGTACTTTTTTCAATAGCCTTTCCTCGACAGATCACGCGTGAGTCGTGTTTAAGTTTAGTTCAGCGATGAGGCTCATTTGTGGTTAGTGGGCCAGTGGAATCATAGGTCACTATTTCTACAAAAATTATGTCGATGAGAACGTAAACGTCAATAACGACCGTTATCGCGCCATGATAACCCGACTATTTGTTGTCTGAAATTGGAGCTCGCGCTCTCGGCGACATTTGGTTTCAACAAGAAGGCGCTACCTCCAAAATATTGCTTCAATCAACGGATTCATTGAGAGAACATTTTGGTGGGTGGATAATTTCACGTTTTCGGTCGGTCGATTGGCCACCAAGATCGTGTGATATCACACTGTTTGGATTTGGTTCATAGAATATAAATATATTAAATCAGAAGTAACATCTTTTCGGCAATTTCTTTTCAGGTGTTATGGAGGCCAATTTTCATAATCAGTTCTGCCGATAAATCACACTTTGGACACATTCAGCAATCAGTGATTTTTTTGGTCCCTAATGAGTTTATCGTCTTATTTGTGTTTCATGCATTCATGGAGCTCCTTTTAGTCATGAGTCAGCTCTGAATTGCAGTAACTTGCATTTTCGCTTTTATGGAAGAAAAACAGTAAAATTTGGCATTTATTTTCCAAATAGTTATGAAAAATTACATATTCTGAGTAGAAATCATTATCTCATTAAACGCCAGTAAAACCAACTGCAACTGCTGATGGCACGCGACTGTTTTTCTCCATACTGAGAACTTAGAAAATTCACGAGAATCATTGCAAATAATAATTGAAATTTATTGCGCAAAATTCAATAAAACACATACAATACCAATTAATCTCAACTCGTCCAGCCCACAGATTTGATTGACAAAACTACCGGCACAGAAGAGCGAAAAAACGTTAAAAACAAAAACAATACAAACGAATAGAATATTATCTGCGTATAATGACAACAATAAAAAAATAATGCCAACATAAAGGAAACAATAATTCCGGCATTCGAAATGCTACCGGATAAAAAGACACAATGAGTGATAGATAATTCGTTACGCCCCTTTTGTTGAGACCTTAAAAAAGTAGCAACTGGCGGGTTGGCAAAGAAGGACTCGAACAGGCACAGGAACGGCGAATTAACCCCCAAAGCAAGCGACCACAACACGAGCACTCATATATGGTACATATATATAATATATCCAAGCAAGAGGTGCAGAACAGTCGCGCCGCATACAGTTGTCGGAAGTGCTTAGGAATCGCAACTGGTTATACGAATTTGCTTTGGTTACTTTGGTTGTGTTTTCATTGGAGGATTTATGAGCGAACGCAATAACACACCGCACGCAATAATTTAAACATGATTAGGAGTGCGAGTTGTTATTACAGCCTCCAGCCCAGCGGGCTTGTGGCCCTAAATGAAAAGCAAATCGAAAGACAATAAAAGCGCAGCGGTCTTAACGTGGAGAGATGGCATTGTAGTTTGAATAAAAATTGAAGCGGCTAATCCGGCGACCAAGTCTAAAGCGCAAAACTATTAAGTGCAAGCAAAATAACTGTTTGTATCCACTTATTATAATGAACTGTTGCAATATTATTTCAAGCGCCCAACTATGCGATTCATTGCTTCCTGAGGGTGAAGTGTTGCTTATGCCGGTTTGTGCTGCCAAATGTATTTAATTTTTTAAAAAGGAGTTGTTTGTATTTGGTATTAGGTGCAGGCAAATTAGTTCCGTTGCTTTTTTATTGCGTTTAATTGGCCAAAAATTTTATTGCAACTCAAATGGAATTAAGAAGCAGATGAGTTAACATTGGAAACACATTGAATGACTGCATTCAGAATGACATATTCAAAACTTATGCACACATACATACGTAGTGTTTGAGATAATACTATAGAAAATATTTTTATCACATCTAAAAATCAGCAAAATTGTGTTAAAGAGGTAGCCAAAGCTGGTTGAACCAAATTACGAAGCAAAAGCCAAACTCTATATTAAGGAGAGAGTTTTTGTACATCTCCCAATTTGTTGTTTAAAAGTTTTCAGTAAAAGCTTCAAACTACCGGGATGATAAATTATTTAATTTCTCAATATTCCTAAAGCTTCACGTATCCAATCCTATTAAAGTTTTCCCTTGTACTACCGTAATGAAAAGAAGTAGGTCGGAGAGCACCAGAGATACCAGAACTTACCTCAATATTTATTATTAATTTAGCCAAAAAATATACAAAAAATTTGCGTTGCAAGAATTATCATATAATCTTCTTAAATATTTTTGAGAAAATATCAAGGAAATGAAAACCTCGTTTTTTCCATTTGCCGTCAGACAAATATTCAAAACTTTTAAGGGATATTCTACGCTAGAACTTTGACAAAATTCGATTTTTTTTCATATATTTAAAGTTTAGACGCTTAAGAACATATCCTCCAAAGGATTTTTAAAAATTAAAATTATTTTATGAGCTACAGTTACTTTAGTGGCGCAGTACCTAGCCCGGTAGGTAGGTACACTTACTTTTTTAAACGCGTTTTTCTCGAAACTACTTTTTTCCACACTGTAGCGGCATTATCTCATGTACTATGAAATTTTGTGTGAACATTCTTTATATTATATAATCCTTTATATTTATATAATCCTTAATCCTTTGTTTTTAATATTTAAAAAAAATTCAGGAATTTAAAAAAAAGCGTAAAAAATGATTTTTATTTTCAGACAGTCTCCATTTTTCAAAAGAATTTTTTTTCGTGCTCCCTGAAATAGGGACTATAACAGCAACCTTACTGATTAACAATTTATTTTGATTTTTTTTCCGGACCACCAGGAGAGTCGGGATCAATGTCACCAGGATAGGAGAATACCCCCTTAAAATAGTAAGTATAATAAACTTCTGCCGAAATGGCGGCTTGAAAAGTTAAAAGATTCAACATGTGGGCTGTCACCCGAGAGAAAGAATTTCGTATGAATAATTTATGTTGGCAGACTGAATTGGGAAAGGAGAGCATCTTGCAAATTCAGCAGTATGCGAAAGAGCCAGCTATCCGCTGTCGGATCCTTGGTTCTAGCTCTGTAGTGGATGGCCCAGAAGTCTGTTTACTATTAGCAATTATAAGCATATATGCAGGCAAACTAAAAATCTTGCAAGATTTAAATTGCTAAAGTTGTATGGAGAAAGGAGATGTCAACACATCTATACGCTTTAGTTCCTTACTCCCCGAGGTGCCAGTTCGCATAAGCAGAATGGAAAGAACTCCAAGTTCTCGTACTCTCTGTGGTACCAGAATTAAGACTCCAGTCAGACCTCATGAAACTACTACCAGTTGAGCTTCAATACTGCTTTGGTCTGGTGACCAGGAGTTTGACTCAACACATTACAAGCACAAACTGTTCATACAAGAAGGTAACCCTAATACATCGCCACCTAAGCAATTCGAGTGCACACGATCCTAACTGTTCGGCATTCCGATTAGTGGAGATTGCACCACTTGCCTAAAGGTACATCAGTCTAGCTAATCCCCATATCACACAAATCGGTAATATCCGAATACATCAGGCTTTCTGCAATAACATGAACCCAATCCTCGACCCAAGTTCTACACAAACACCATGATCAGATAGGCAAAAATGCATTCAGACGATCATGTGCCGTAAGTAGAAAACCCAGACCTAAGACAGCATTTGAAGTCAAACTTTAGAACGAACTTAACGTTCAGGATATACTCGAGAGTCACCCGACCGTTAGGGCTGTTGTCCCAATGTTCTTGCCACCTACACCTGACCCTATCATATTGCTCCTTAGATATCCCCTATCTTAGCGTGAATGTAAAAGCGCGATGTATGGCAATAAAGTGAAGAGGAGGTGTTCCTAACATAACCTGCATCGCATCCGTCGGAATGGTGCAAGGGATTTTTACAAAACTAGTTGTATCAATTGAATTCGTGTAGGTTGAATACAAAGTGACATTTGGTATATTCCTTTCCTTTTGTCATTTTGACAAAACTTAAAATAAATTGATGATTCAGAGTTGAAAATTTGTGAAATCTGCTGCTTTTTCAGAAGAGTTAATTTATAAATGAACCTTTTGAAACCAAATCTGGAACACTTCAGAAATGTAAAAAGGTGAAGGAGTAGGTTTTTTTTTTGGAACACGTTAGCGTTATTTGGATTGGGATTATTTATGGTATAAGATTTGCTTTGTCAAAATTGTTGATTACTCAAATTACATAATTTACTACAACAACGAAATGAACTTTAAGAAAGGCATGTTAATGTGGATGGAATCTACAAAAGATATTTAAAAAAGTTGTTAGCTTAATGGTTATTATCTTTCTTAAAATTCTGAGTGAAAAATTTTACATTAAGAAACCTCCCGCCATTAATTTTCATTGTTAAATATTAAACGAAGGAAATGTAGTTTGGCCAACAGCAAAATTTTGCTCAAATCTAGAAAATAAAAGTACAAAATTTTCCGGAAGCTCTAATTTGAGACTTTATCCTTAACAATAATTAAATATTTTATTCCTTTCCTTTTCTTTTTTGCTGTCAAAATAATATATCATAATAATTCTCGGCAATTTTAATAAAATGCTTACCGTTTCTCACTCTCACACCTTCGCGTGTATCACCTAAAATCGCCGAAACACTAAATTTTAATATCGGTTTTGTGTTGTTATCCTTCAAAATCGTCGTCTCTTTCTCCTCGACTTTCGGCAACCGGAGCGCCTCACTTTCATGCAGATCCATTTCATCATCACGTTCTGGATCCAGTTCAGCATCATCCATATCATCATCGATACCGATGTCCGGCTCGTCTTCATCGTCCTCCACACTATCAACACTTTCACGGCCACCATTCATAACACTCAAATGACAACACTTATCACATTTAAAATTGTTTTCGCGTCGCAACATTTCGTCACTGTTATAATTTTTCGTATTCATGATTTGTGCGAAATTACCACAACGATTGCAACACAACTCTACACGTTCACCGATACGGCCGCCGTCGGCTGGACTATGTCCATTTCTAGCGCCATCCATATTGTCCGCTAAACGATCGTACGTTTGATCGATTGTGTTACCGTTTGGTGCTGAGTCTTCTTCGTGTGTTGCGGAAAGCGCGGAACTACGGCTAAGCAACATTTTTGTGACGCCTTGAGGTCGTTACATACGGTATAGTCGCGTCGGTATCGCAATGAGCGCGCGTTAAGCCAACAACAACAATTGAATTGTATTCAAAGTTCGATTTGGACTCGGTGAGCGGGTTTGCAAGTAGAACGCGGTTACAAGGTGAGCGCACGGGGTTTTCGGTATTACCAAACTGTATTTTGTCGATCAGCAGCACTGCTGGCATGACCCGGGAGCACACGAATCACGCGGTACCAACGAGACCACGTCTACTACGACACGCGTGCACTGCAATGCTTTTAAGAAGAAGAAGAAACCGTTTGCGGAAGCCGTGCAGTTGCGGCAAGGACTAAATTAGTACTGAAACCATATTGGATGCGTTGACTTCGAGTTGCGCGTGAATGTTGTGTGGTTGACTGACTGCCTCTGTTGGACGACGCACAATGGCTCGCTGGCGCTCGGTGGTGTTGTTGGCAGGATGCCAGTTAGTTAAGGGTTGCTGAACGGTGGTTGGTCTATTTCTCCTGCCCGCTGTGCAGCAGCTTTATTAGTATGCGTGTACATGTGTGTGTGTGTGTTTGGCAGTGGCAAGTGCCACATGCCACATGTATGTATATGCTTTGTGCAATACTCTTCTGCTGCGCGGTGCCTTCTGTCCATTATGTACTTGCGCACTTAATACATTTATGTAATTGTTTATGTATTTTATTTATTTGTGTGGCAGTTAAGGTAACCTCCATTGTGCGCTTAATGGTCGTTCGACTTTTGCTTGTTGTTGCATAATAGCTGTGCGCTGTTGTTGCTCCTGTTGCTTTTACTTTTGCCGTTGTTGGTGTTGTTGTTATGTTTTGATTTGATTTTATTCGTGTGTTATAACAATAAAATTTTAATTTTCTTGTAAAGTGGATATAAGAATATTTGGATGTGTGAGATTTGCCTCTGCTCTCCCGCGCTGTGTGATGTGCGAGGGGGCGGCGGAATGTGCGATGATGACGCTCCTGCATATATTTATATTTCACTTAACGGCTTATGGTTGATGTTGGGAGTTCGTATGTAGAAAAAAAATATTTTTATAAAATTTATTTATTTATGTTTACATTATAAAAAAAAATTTTAAGAATTAATAGAAAAAACTTTTACAAAATTTTCTTATTTTAATTATCAATTCTAAATTATTCTCTTAATTATATATTTTTAAATTAACACTTTTAATTTTAAGCAGAAATTAATAATCACTGTAGGATAATAATCTTATTTGTAAATATACATACATACAGTCATTATATGTCAAAAATAATTTTTTTTTATATCAAAACCGTATAATACCCTTCACAAATTTAAAATATTCCTACCAAGCACTTAATTCCAATCGTTCAGTTTCTGTGCCAGCTATGCTATAGTAGTCCGATATCAGCGGTTCCGACATATGTGAAGCATTTTGAAGAGAAAAGGACAAGTGCAAAATAAAATAAATAAATGTTGTTGGACGCTGTCAAAATTGTATGGAGGAGCTGAAGTGAAAACATTCAAGTACTTTGCTTTCTGCAACCATTTCTTCGGCGAAGCTGGCAAAATCGCCGGAATTGACATTAACCGCATCAATATTTATGAATATTTCAGATCCTAGTTCACCGAGATGTCTGAAGTTGTGATATTCGAAGTGTCTTTGTTTTCGTCTTGTAATAAAAAAAATAAAATAAAAAAAAGGGTGTATTTAACCGAATTTTTTCATATTCTATAATAAATTTTAATCTCTGATTTCCCTTAAAAGGTAAAAAGTACATAACAATTATATCTTGGTTTAGTGAATGCTATTACATATTCGTGTGACAGCCTAAAAAAGAAAATTTTTGTGAGTTAAAAAATTATTAAGCTATTGCTTTACATATAAGATTCCTTATTGGAAGATATGGTATCGAACGAAAAATATGTAAGTAAAACTTGATAATAAGGTGGCGTTTAAAAAAGTTCAACTTGACCAATTGACACTGTGTGGAAAATTATATACAAAAAGACAGAAAAAATTCGATAATGATTAAAAAAAAAATATTTCAGATATCGTGTTAAAATTTTAGTAAGTTATTTTCAAGATATAACTTATAGGAATGTGAAAATTTTAATTACTATTTACAATTTCAAATATTAAAAAGCTTTTTAGGGATGACGACCTATGAAAGACATGCAACGAAATCAATAGTTGTCTAATTCATTTCTTTTGGAACAAGTCAACTAATTTTGGTTTGTAATTTGGAATAAAAAGGGTTCGGATCAGGATTGGCATCGAAATACCAAACAAAATTCATCGTCGATTAAATATTGTAAAAGATCATGCTTGAAACCAAGCATGTCTTTCCAATTTTGTAACTAGACTTGGATACTTAATTTTAACCGTACCTGAGCCCAAAATGAAAGTTGCGGTCAAAGCATAAAAATATTTAAAAGGATTAATCGCAGGTCTTATTATATCGATTATAAGAAAAACATAAACATTTCGAAACTTTCGTTTTATTCGTGATTGGTCTCATAATTCGAATAATTTTTGCTCCACCTAACAGAAATTGTTTGGGCTCTTATTGTATAGTAATACTGAGAATCAATGAAAGTTATTGCATTTGCAAAATTTCTGAGAATTGAAGATTCTAGCAGACAAATTTTGATTTCTGGACCTTGCGACCATTTTATAGGTAATATTGTCGACACAAAAAAAAGTTTACTTAGAAATCTGGAACATTTGGGTTTTTGAATGATATTTTCAAAAAATACTTTTCTGCAAAACTATTGTTGGGCTGATACAAGGTGTTTTGACATAAAGGTAAAATTGTGATGTAATCGTTGAAATCAGCAAAAATTTGAGAAAAGTTATCTGATTAGATAGCGCGTAGTTTTTCAATAAGTCAAGCACAAATATATGCTTGTTAATATTTTGTTTGCTGAATCAGAAGTAAGGAGAACCATACTGATTAATTTAAATAAGCGGAGTTCCGTACGAATTTTGAAAGAGTTTGTGAAATAATCACAGTCATATTTAAAACTATTTTCCAACATTCCGAACATATATAATTATATAATGAAAAAGAGTTCCATTTGTCACTGCTGAAAAAACAGAAAGTTATGTACAAAGTAACAAGCATTCTAATGACATTTCCTCAACATTTTCACTGTTCCACTTATCCATTTGGCCCTGGACAGGGCGAGTAACATAAGTCGTCATATTTAACAAAGCATTTCAACATTATGAACTTTTATTATCACCACAAATTAGTTGTAGCATGTCTTATTTACTCAGAGTTCAGCACAAGTATGGCAGAGTGCGCTGAGTACTCACACAGTGACCTCTCACTTTCTGCCGCTCGCACTCACAGCAAACGCTCAACAAAGCCACACACCGACTCCAACACATATGTACATATACATACGTACGTTTATAAATACAGTTAGTGCATACACACTAGTAAACGAGCTGTTGGCAGTTGTTGCAGGAAGTCAGCAAAGTAAGTCATAAGCCAACAGCAGGCACTTGTCTCTAGCATAAGAGTAAATACAAGTGAATGGCCTTGCGCGTTTCCTCCCAGCGCCTGTGTAAGTGTGTGTTTGTGTGTGTGCGACTACTTGAAATTTATTTAATGCGAATGTCCATTTTGCCGTTTATTTTTATTCCGCTCTAGTATTGTTCTAGCAATAGAAATGCTCACACACACATGAAAAACCAACTGGTCTGCTCAGCGCAAACAAACACACACACACACATATAGGGAAAGCTTTGGGTTTGGCTGGCACGTAACGGCTGGCAACAACCCTTATAAGTATGTATCCTTGCAAGTGCCAGCACACGAATAAGAATTGTGAATATGCGTGTGCATGTGTGTGTGTAATGTACGAATATTCGTAAGGGCGTGGCCTCTCAATGCTGCTCAGCTCAGTAGCGCACACAATAATAATAAGTATAAGGATAATACAAACAATGGCCACGCTCTTTAGTGTGTTTTATTGCTCGAACTCGTCGACTATATTCTAGCTGTTGTTACCGTTATGATGGTCTGTGCTGCGTGGCCTATTTGCTGGAGCAGCCAAGTTGTGTGCTCACAGTGAAGACTACGGTTTCTCTGCGTTATGTTTGTTTTGCGTTTATATAAACTTACTTTTTCAGTTCTTCGATTTTTGCTGCTTTTATACCCTTGTAATTTGTTGTAAAGGGTATAATGGTTCGATTCATTTAAAGGTTGTTTATAGTAACTGAAACTAATCGAGATAAAATCAAGAGTTATGTATAGCAAAATTTTCATGTTGAGGAGACGAATTAATCTCCGGATAACTGTATATTCGTCAGTCAATAATGGAAAATCTATTGGTGTCACATCTCTCTCTTTTGCCTCAAGAACTATTTGACCAATTTCAAACCAATTTTTACTTAACCTTATCTTGACATCTTTAAGGGGTTACATCTAATTTCAACTTGGCAAAAGCTATTTTTTTGTGAATATTTTTTTTAAGAAAAATTTCTCAAACCATTTTTCAACTCAACTTCAAAATTTCCGAGAATATTCTAAAATAACCTAATATAATATAACGTATTTCGAGGTTTCGTTTTTTTTTAAAGAAAAAACAAATTAACTTAAAATTATTGGGGAATGTTTATTATCATCCGAAAGAACATTTCTTCGCCCGTTGAGTCCAATTTTCAATTACTTTTTCAAGCAGTTCGACTGGTAACTGGCGAATGACACGTGTGAAGTTTTGCTGTGTCCCACTGAAGTGTTCTCTCAATGAATCCTTGATTGGTGTTAAGTGGCACCGTCTTGTTGAAACCTAATATCGCCGAGATCACGCGCTTCAACTTCAAGTAACAAATAGTCGATTATCATGGCGATGATTCCACTGGCTTACAAACCACACCAAACCATTGTATTATTCTAGATGAAATTGCATTTCTTGAATTTCTTTAGGTAGCTCTTCGTCCCAAATGTGACAGCTTTGCTTGTTTAAATACCCACTGAGCCAGAAATGGGCCTAATCGCTGAATAAAATTTGACTCGATAACGTCGGATCTTGTTAGAAGTTTTCAGGATCCCATAGAGCGAAGCGATGGTCGCTTTCAATTGAAGATCTTCACGTAAAATGCGCAAAATCTTTCCATAGTTCTAGTTGATACGAACGGCCCCAAATTGACTCTAACGGTAGAGACTCTCAATTTACGGCGTTCTGGACGTGGTCTATGAATGCTGGGTCTCCAGATG